ATATACTGTTATCGGCGCCTTTCCAAAATAGACTCGGAACTTTTGCACTGCTAACAGAACTGCAAGTGCCTCTCTCTCGGTCGCGGAATAGTTTCTTTGTGTTTGATTTAAAGTTCGGCTAAAAAATGCCACGGGCTGCTGATTTTGCGAAAGTACCGCTCCTACCGCATAATCCGAAGCATCCGCTGAAATTTCTAAATTTTCATCCTTTTCAGGAAATTTCAACACAGGGGCTTGCGTTAATGCTTGTTTTAATTTTTCGAAAGCACTATTGGCTTCGGCCGTCCACGAGAATCTTGCCTTTTTCCTTTTTAATTTTAACAATGGCTCAGCGATAGCCGCAAAATCTTTTATAAAGGACCTATAATATGAACAAAGTCCTAGAAAAGAAGAGAGCTTCTTTGCCGTGTTTGGAGTCGGATACTTTGTACAGCGATTATTTTTGATTCATCTGTCTCGATCCCTTTTTGCGATATTTTGTAACCTAAATATTTTAATTCAGGGGCTGCAAATTTGCATTTTTCGACATTAACTTTTAGACCGGCCTCATTTAATAAAGAAAACACCTGTCTTAAATCCTGTACATGTTGGTCTAGATTATCACTAGTAATAATGATATCGTCTAAATAGATAAATGTGGACTTTCCGAGAACAGGTCTTAACACAATGTCCATGCATCGCTGAAATGTTGCTGGGGCGCCTGAAAGGCCAAACGGCATTCGCAAAAATGCATAAGTGCCAGACTTGGTTATAAAAGCAGTCTTAGGCACGTCCTCAGGCCTGATCCCTATTTGAAAATAACCATTCGTTAAGTCTAAAGTCGTCATAAATTTGGTTGATTTTATGTTCCTTAAAATTTCTTCTATAATCGGTAACGGATATACCGGATATTTCGTTATGGAATTTAATTTACGGTAATCAATAGCGAATCTCCACCTTTTTGGATGCTCCAAAGGATAATCATTATTTTTCTTACATAAAACCACCGGACTAGCATAACTACTTGAGATAGGCGTTATGATCTTTTTACGTAGCATATCGGTAATATGCCATTCTATAATTTTTTCCTTATTCTTATCATACCGGTATGGTTTTTGACGAACCGGCAATGCATCTCCGGTGTCAATACTATGGTTAGTAACCTGGGTAAATCCTGGAATATCACTAAATAAGGAAGCAAATTCACTTACCACTTGTCGGATTCTATCTTGCTCGTCATTAGGCAGGTGGTCAAGATTTAACCTTGGCGGTTCAACCTTTTCTACACGCACTGGTTTCATCGTCAGCTTAAGAGACGCTTCATTAAAATCCAGTGTAGCTTGTGCGTCTGAAAGAAAGTCTATTCCTAGTATTAAGTGTGCTTGCAAATTCTTTACTATAAAAAACATCACCTTTACTTGTTCGTCCTTGATACGGATGTACAAAGGTACTTTACCTACGCACTTACATTGTTCTCCTTGCGCCGCTAATACTGTTGTATTATCCGCATTATATATGCGGTATTTGCGAAAATACTTTCTAAAAAAGACTTCTGCCACACAGGAACACTGCGCGCCGGTATCCAGGAGTGCGGTGGCCGGGATATTATTTACCAAGACTTCAATCTTCGGAAGAGTTAAATTTTTCACCATTACTGTATTTAACTTGTAGGAAGAGGGGTTTTCGTGGCCTTCGGATTTCCGCACCCTCTCGTCAGCAGAAATCCGTTTTAGTTTAAATTATTTTTCCTTTCGGTGCTTTCCTTCTTTCTCCACTGGCCTTGAGACTTTTTTCCTGGGTTGCTATTGAACTGTCGACGTTCGCCGGCTGTTTTTTGAATGCTCGGGTTTCCTTGCCCACTGATTCGCTTTTTCTCCGTAGCCATGTGCTTGAGTTTGCTGTAGTCTTGGCGTACCAAATTGGTTTCGCTGTTGATATTGGCGTCTTCTTTCGACGTCCGCCGTTCTTCTACTTTCAAACTGGATTGCTAGCTCAAATAATTTTTCCAGTGTAGTCGGATTTCTCAATTCAATAAAGTCTTGCACTTGGGGTAGTAACCTCGGCAAAATCACTTGAATTATTTCAGGATCCGGACGGTTTCCATACAAGAGCTTGAAAACGTGAATTTTTCTTAAGAGGTTTTTCTTTGATATATGAAAAAGTTCTAAATTTCGCACGATCCTTACAAGGAAGGCTTTTAGTAGGGCATTCTTTTTCGTAGATATATAGGTGGGTTCCTGCTTGACCCAAGAGACTTCTGCTTTGATATAAGTTGAACCAGTCAAGCGCTGGTAGCTAGCTAAGGTAACTTTTTGAAAACTCGTGCACGGGGGTAGAGCATGAAGTGGTCATCCAATTTTTCCAAAAAACTGGTTACCTGTGAGTTTTCCATTAAACGTTGCTTCTGGTTTCATCGAAGCGCGCATGGTCTGGACAATGTAACCCAAATCCTTCCAGGGCGGCAGCTGGCATTTCTGGATTCTGAGCTGTTTCTGCAGGCAGCACAGGTTCTTCTTGAAACTCGGCCATGGTTATTCTTCGTCGGGCGCCACTATCAGGTTCAATGTTTCTTCTAACCTTCTTCGGAAACATACAATGACCTGACTAGAACAGAGAGCTTACTAAAGCTATGTTCACTAATTGTAGTAAGTAGACAGGATACAGACGAAGGGTATACAAAACCCTTTATTTTTCTCTATATACAATGACTTCCGTACTTCGGAATACAATGACCCTCCACTCGGGGTCTAACTAAAAGATATCAAAATAAAACTAAACTCTAATTTAACTTTAGAATAAGATTGGCCTTATAATAACAGGAAGCGTATGTAGCACAGAGACTGTGAACACTACAATACGTTTAATTTATCAAGAGGATTAAAACCTCTGGCCTGGAAGGCAAAGTAGCAACTGCGTAACTTCTAAGGTAAGCGGCCTGCTTCGAACTCACGGCTTCCTCTCTTCTGCTTGGCAAAAAGGCCACACTTAAATACTTGGCGTTCGCCAGACAACTTTGCATAAACTCCTTCACGCTTATAATTCTGGCCGGAAGTAGAAAATAAGAAGTGATAGTAAAGATTTAAAATAAAAATAAACGTTAGTAAAACTTAAGATCCTTACAATATGGCAACGTGAAGTTTCTCGCCAAAAATATTTGGGCGACTTGAGGGCGCATATCAGAGTAGTTCCACGGTATACAATAGTACTGAAATTGGATATGTTACGTAGGATCAACATATCAAGGAACGAAAAGGAATCGGATGTCTCAAGTTCAAAACTTTTTTAAAAAACATCTTGCTTTGGTGAAATAAATTTTATAGAAGCATTTTGCATTCACAAAAATATTTCTGTTCAAGTCAATGATCCCAATTTCAGACCCTCAGCTTTTAAAGAAATTGTTTCACAGTTGTTTTTATTTTTTATCAATAGTAGCTAGACTTCATTCCTTTCCCTGTTATCGCCTCACGACAAGCTTCTCTTTCATCATTTACACTCATGCAGCTGAAGAAGGCTGCTTTATATTTAAATCTTCGAAACTAGTCCTGCAAATTTATGAATATTAGATTCTTGTTGTTTTGGGAGCTCTAGAAATCGTTGTTCGGAGTGTTATTTGAACTCAAATTACACTTCTTTATTTACTATAATAAATTATTTATACTGTTCAAATAATACTATTTATTAAATATTAGATGAAAAAGTGTTTAGGTAAACTGTGAAATAGTTAAACATCTGTCTTTACTTTGTTTATATACTTTTTTTATGATAACTCCTTTTGACGTCCGCAATCCGAGCGGCCAGTTTTCAAAAGAAATAATACAGTGAATATAAAAAAGTGGCAACCGCCTAATATTGTATCGGGAATTATAGATATAAGCTGTTTTTATATAATTTATGATTGTTTTCTTTAATTGTATATGCCGTATGTGCGAAGAAAGCGATGCTTAGTAATGAAGTTAAAAAGAGAAAAAAATTTATGAGCAGTAGTGGAATTCAAAAGCAGATTGGAAAACTGCAATGCTCAGCGAGAACATAAAGAACCTTAATAAATCCTCTGGTACGACGTTAAAATCTGAATACTTTCAGATTTTCTTCCTTTTCTTTTCTCTCACCTACTTAATTTTTTTTTTTTTTTTTTTTAAATTTCTTTAAGTTTGATTTAGATATAAGTTTGGGTACTTTTCCATTTTGCTGGCGCAAGCGATAAAGTCGCCAAAAATGGTACAACCGATGCCAAACGGAATATCTTCGCTGGTAACATTTTACGTCTCATTTTCAAAATATGTCGCAGCCATTTTTTATCATATTGATTTTTCTTTCAATACTGGCATATAATTACATAGAATTTTTACAGATAGTTCAAATTTTATGCCCTAAGGCTATTCGCGGTAATTAAGTCAATAGGAATCAATTAGTAATCACACACCGCTTCACTCGGAGGCGAAAATATAGGAAAAAGCAAAATCAAGGGTTGAATTCATCAATTCTAATGAGAAATGCGCTAGCGAAGTAAAGCACTGTGGTTTTACATAATTTTTGAGTTAAGCTATTCGTACGAATTGAAATAATTCTTTCAATTTAAACTTGTATTCCATTAAGATTTAACCTTTAAGATTAATGTAGATAATGACTGAGAATTAGATTTTTGTAGCTTAGTTTACGCAAAGAATTACGTGAGATGAAGATCACTTGGGGTCACGTGATATGAACCTGCGAATCAGGATGTTGTACCATGAAAGCATAGTAAATTCTTAAATTAATGTCTTTTTACAAATTTAATGTCTTTATTTATTGTCTTTTTACAAAATTTTAAACGATATTAAATTGTTTATGCCTCAAAAAAAAAAAAAAAAAACTTAGAACTAACATTTGTTGTCATTTTTTACGTGTATACTACGTTCGTCGCCAATAAAGTGTGCTTGGCGAGATTTGCGCCGGCGAAACGGAAAAGTACCTAAGTTTGAATATCTTTAGCAAATTCATTTGGTATGCTTGATGTAAAAAAATTCTTCTATTTCCTTTAGGACCGATCCGCATCTATATAAAGTTCAAGTGGGTGAACTTATTTTGAGCGAACAGAATGTTAACTATGAAGTCCAAGACATCAAGATTCACGAAGGTTATAGACCTCGTTACTATTACGATGATATCGCGATACTTCGTCTTGCAGAACCTTTGACAGATACTCCAGCTTGCCTGCCAGCGGAAAAGTTGGTTCATGAACGGAACAATGTCACAGTTCTAGGCTGGGGAGATCTTTCATTTGGTAATCAAACTAAACAATATAATTTTTTTTTTCAAAAAAGCACATTTCTTGTTTATTAATTTTTTTGAGAGTTTTCGTCATTGGTAAAATAAACACTATACAATGGCGGCGTAACTACAGGTGGGCTGAAGAGGCGAAACGCCTGGAGCGGTACATTTTAAGGGTGGAATTTTTTTGTTTGAAACATTATAGGATTTAGTCAGATGGATCGTCGATGCAGGTGAAGACTGAAAAAATGATTATTTTAACCTTCTTCAATTTGCAATTTGCTTAAGACTAAGCGATAACGCTCAGGCTCTGCAGAACTTAAATACAAACTTCCAGTTCCAATAGAATCCTGCAGAGCTACATGTTGAAATATAAACGAAAAGCACTACTAAACAATGGCGTAACTAGAAATTTTGCTGCCTCGGGTGTCCCTGAGTTTCCCGCCCCTCTTGATATACTGCAAGATTTACTTCGTTTAGCTATCATAAAATGTGACTAGATCCACCCAAGTGTTAATCTTTGCGAATTCTCGCACAGACATGAAGAGGAACACAACCAACGGAAGGGTGTAAAAGAGCTTTTTATTGAACACAATATAATTTACAGACGATTAGTTAGTTAGTTCTAAGCACTGGCCCCCAGCCAACCTGCGTTAAGCGAAACCTGCCATATGGCTATGAAATTTACAGACGGTATAAACTTACGTACTTACAAACACCGATCACTTGCGATGTGAACTTAAAGTATAATGTAATACTAAATTTAAAGGTAAAGAATAGAGCAAGACTATACAATTCGGTTTAAGCTAACAGGTTGACTCAGACGGCAAAATAATACCTCGGCGGCAAGCATGCATAGCTGATATTAGTGTTAACAGCTGGAAGCAAATAGCAGTGGGCGCTCAAAATAGCGAAATCACGCTCTGTCTAACCTTATCGTTCCCAACAGTTTAAATACTCTCGTTCACACTAGCTCACTTACATACTGGCAAATAATGCGAGGACAATAACAGATGTCAGGAAAGTCTCACAAGTTCAAATAATTATTAGTAAAATTAAATACAACTCTACAATACAAACAAAATAACTACAAAAAATATCAAAACGACATATAGCAAAAAAAGTTTACATTATACATTTATTTTTGAAGAAAAACTTTTATTCCAATACTTTAAATTATATTATTATTTCGCTAGTTTATTTTTTTTTTCTTCAAAATCGTCGGTGATATTGCAGAGGTCTATTTGATTGCTCTTGCTGCAATGTAGAGAGTAAAGAGAACGTTTTCTTAAATACAAAATATGAAGAATAAAGATAGCAAAATCAGCTTGCCTTTTGTGCACTCAAGTAGCAGCAGTTGAGTCTCCGAAACTATTGATGATTATGAGATGAGAGATTTATCCATAAATAATACGATGGAGATTTAAACACTAATAACATATTTATTGAATTGAACTAAAAATATAAGCGGTAATACATTAATGACACAAGCACATACAGAAGCTTAATAATAACTAAAGAACAAGAGGATCATGGGATATATTAATATCACGTGATTAACATAGTTTACTTGTTTGGCGCCCGTGTTTCTTGGCGCTTTTTAGGGTTGCCAGATGTAAGTTAGAAAAACATTTTATTTATTTGTTCTCAAATGCTTGATTAATTTACAACAAAATACACATTTGTAGAACGCTTCTCAGAGTTGAAATATTCTCAGAAAATTCTCAGAGTTAACAACACTTACTGCAACTGAGAAGAAAGCACGTACTAGTATTATAATGTTTGAAACTTTGGTTCTGGAAATCGTATTTTAGAATAAACTACAAAAATTCAAAAGAATTGTCCTTCCAGGTTCCTGTTTCCGTTACCGAAACAATAACGGAAATAAAATTTCGAAATACTACTGTCTTAACGGGAAATTCTTCTTTATAAATGTCGCCTCATAATTTATATTATTATTGAAAATAGTTAACATTCGTTTAGTTAACATTCGTAATTTTCATTGAAAAGTTTCGACGGAATAAAAAAGGTATAAGAAAAGTATAGAGCTTTTGGAATCACGCCGGGATTTCTTTAAATACTTTTATGTATTGTAAAAACTTCTTTTTTACCAAATTTTATACCGCATGGCAATTAAGAATCTAATCGTTCTTTACTTGCCTGGAAGATCCATCTGTAAATCTACCGTATAAAATTATATTTTATGCAAAAGTTGCCGCCACTAAAAATCTCCGCTCAAGGCTACGTCACTGTTGCTAAAGTAATAGTTCACTTTCAAACACATACTTGTGATAAAGGAATTAAAATAATTTGTTTACCTCTTATTTAAAATCTGACAAACAATAGTTATTTTTTAACGTATTTGTTTGTCATTTACCTATTTGCGTTAATAAAATTCCTTCCTTGAACAAACTTTCGATTTCTCAATCGTCCATTGGCAACAAGAATATGGAGCCGTTCTTAACCTGGCTGATATTTACGACTAGTGTTCTTGACCTACATGATTTTCTTCAACCCTGAAATCAAAAGAGCGAAAAATAGATGAAATTTCATAACATACCCTACACCACGTCAGGTTTTTAAGTTACTTTTTCAGCAGTTATTGCAGTTTCCTGCGGTAAGCAACACAGGGTTCTTTACTAGACACTACCAGTGGTGGTCTTTTTACTACAATGATTTTGCAACAAGATGTTTATACGTCCTTCGCCCTTTTTATAGACTTTTATTTAATTCACTCATGAGGTTGGGATTTTGTCATCGATTTTTAATTTGTCCTAATAAGCTATTGATTTCAAATTTTGTATTTACACTATTGGTCGATGGAAATGCAATATAGTTAAAAGAGTTTTTCAAAATGCGATATAGATTTTTTTTTTTTTTAATTTCATGTTTAAAAGATTTTTTGGACATATATTCGTTTAGCGAACAAACTAAACATATCAGGATTTGACTGTTTACACCACAGAACACAGCGGAAAAAGCATCTCGTCAGTGAAATTTGGTTGAAAATTATAACTTCTTTCTGAATTTTTTTCAATCGCTCGATTTTTTGAACAATTCCGTGTTCATAATTTTAACATTTCAGCATCTATAAATGTATCGGGTATAAACTTTTGAAATTTTCACAGATTATAAAATAAACTTTTCCTGAATCAGACAGGAGAAAAAAGCGTTTCTCACGAAAAAATTGCTTCTGACTTTGCCATCTTGCTGTACTTAATGACGAATTGGGATATTCTCTCCCCCCCCCTCAATTTTAGTGTGAAGTAAAATGCTCGTTGTAACATTCTTATTATATCAAATTTCTGAAACTAGATCGAATTCTTAAAAGACGTTCAATTATTTATCTTTATTTCATAAATTTCTTCTTATTCTTATTATTCATAAATTTCTTCTTCAATTATTTATCTTTATTTCATAAATTCATTGCTTGTGTTTTAATAAAGAATAAATATTTCATCCTGGATAACATGTAATTGAGACTAAAAAGCATAAAGTAAAATAGAATTAAAAAATGTCTTCATGCAATTAAGTTTTTATTCAAGCCGAATATGATAATGAATGCACTGAAAGGGAAAAAAAAAATAATTTATCATATACTATAATAGAAATGATAGATTAAATGATTCTATTCACGGATTTCATTTACAATTTTAAATCGCAAATGATAAAAGCGTGGGACGCCTAACTAACGAATCTATTAATTGAATTGCATTGTCAAATATATATTATCTTTTTATTTCATTATCTTTTTAATTTTTCTATTATGTTTATGTACTATTTTACCTGCATTGCCAAATATAAAGAAATTATCCTTTTTAATTCATCATGAGCACCACATGCTTTTATTAATCGTGATATAAAATTATAGATAAATATTGTAAATAGAATTATTGATTTTATTATTCCCATTAAAGTACATAACAATTTTTCTCCTTTTTTCCTCATTAATTATCATACCCGTTTTAAATGAAAGCTTTTCCATAGAAACATTTTTAATTGTATTTTACTTATGAGTTCTCGTTTGTTGTCAATGGATCTTTGCTTAATTGGCATTCAGTTTAACGGGACTTATTACCGTATTTCCCCACCTTTTTCTTAACTGGTTTTTATCGTCCAAAAATCGAGAGGGGGAAAATGATGCCAGTCATTTAATTTCCGAAAAAAACGAGAGTTCAGTAAGAACATAACAAATAAAAAGGAGTCATGGATAAACTACTGGAAGCTATCACAATATTATTTATTTAAAAGAAACCTACATTACCATAAGAATAAAGAGTGATACTAATAATTACAATATCTGAAGAAATGTTTAATTGATATCTGATGATAAATGAGCCGGACACATTGCGCAGAGCACTGCGTGTCTGGCTGGATTACCTTATAAAGCCCCGGGAGCACCTCACATGACTGATTCTTGATCTCATTTCCCGAGAGGGCATCAGAGGACCGAAGGACGAGAAGGGCAGAAAGACTCGGATTTCGAAAAATCGAACACAATTTCGAGAATATTTTTTAAACTTTCAGAAACTAGCGCTTAAAATCTAGCAGAAAAAATACACGAAGAAATAAGGTAAATATTAAATTTCGGAAGTTAAGCAAAGAATACACTAACATCAAATATGTAGTCATTGATAATAAACTATGTATAATCAGAATTCGTTGTGAGTATGTAACTGCCTATCATAATCCTTCCGATCATATGGGTTTGAAAGGGTTTTGAAATTAAAATGAAGCAACACTATCAGTTGGTAAAACAACTTTTTTTTCCCAAATTAAACGTTGAAATAACTAAACTTTTTGGATGTATTTTGCTTTCTAAATAGGTTTTATTTGCTGTTTTTGGTTTAAAATATATTTAATCACACTGCCTGATTATGTTTTTATAATTGGTTTTCTGTTGAAAAATAGAAAAGGTTGGCAATGCTAGAGTTTGACAGGGTATTGTCAATTAAATTGACGCCAAGAAGAAAAATGAATGGCTATGAATTCCTTAGCTCATTATTTGATTGCTTAGTCCAGGGGTTTCCAGTGGGGGTCGATGAAATTTTAAAGAGGATCACTGATGTCGACAACCGAATATGGGCCGGCAGTTGATGGGTATAAATCAAGATTCCATTAGTAAAAAGAATTATTAATAAAACTGATAATCGATTGTTTAATTGATATAAAGCTGTACTGTGTAGTAAGAAAGAAATCAAATATCGAGTTGGCAAGGGAAAATTCGTTTTTTTTTTTTTTTTTTTTTTTTTTTTTTTTTTTATAGTAAATAAAACACAGTTTCTCTATACAAAATTTGAATTTTAATCAGTGAAATATCTTTCATTTTGTTCGATGACCTTTTGCCATCTCTCTGGTAGCTTCATGATTCCGCGCTCAAAATCTTCTGTTCTTATTAATAAAAAACTCACTAAGTGCGGTTTGAGATCATCGTTATAACTGAAATTTTTGCTATTTAAGAAGTTTCGTAGCCTTCGAAATAAATGATTATCCGATGGTACAAGGTCGGAGTTATGTGGGGGATGAAAAACACTTCACAGCCAAGCTCTAATAATTTCGCAGATACTACTAAAATGTGTGAGGCCTTGCATTGCCGTGGAATATGATTCCTTTGCTATTTGCCAATTCTAACCTTTTCTTTCTGATTCTTTCCTCCGATTTCATAAGTTGTTGGCAGCGAACATCTGATTTGATCGTTTGGTTTCTTGGAAGCAGCTTGACGTACACAGCACCTTTATAATCCCACCAAACTGAAGGGATGATCTTTTTCTGATGCAATTTAGTTTTCGACGTGATTCGTGCTGATTGTGCTGATGCTCTTTTTCTATTTATGTTATTGTAGACGATCCATTTTTCCCCACCAGTGATAATTCGTTTAAAAAAAAGGATCGATTGCATTACGTTTGTAATGCGTATTGCAAATATTGATTCGTTTGAGTTTTGTGAATTTCTTTCAGTTTTGGGGAAAGCCAAATATGGAGCTTCTTAATGAATCCAAAAATATGTGATTTTCAGTAGTTGTTGAGTGTGACACATGTAACCCTTTTGCAGTCTCTCGCAAATTTCTATGACGATTCGATTCAGTTATGGCTTTAATTTTATCATCATTAACTTCAGAAGGTCGGCCAGAACGTTGGTCATCCCCAAGTGAACAATTTTCAGAACGAAATTTTTGAAACCAGTTCTGACATATGCATTCTGTTAAGCAATCAGCACCATAAACTTCACATATCTCTTTGTGAGCCTCAGCCGCTTTCTTGTATTTATGAAAATAAAAGAATAAAATATGTCGAAAATGTTTATGCTTTCACCCCATGGTAAATCTGACTGTAAACTAATAGTTGAAAAATAAATACACAGAGAATGTGTTTCTGTAGCAAACTAAAAGTGTTGTAGAATCGTATCCTCTTTGGTAATATAAACTCTGCCTAGATCCTACTAAGAAACCTGGCGACTTTCGCACAGACGTAAAGAATACTAGCACAGAAGAATAGTAAAAATAACCCTTTATTATTCGTCAAACTGGTCGTACTTATCGTCGAACAGAAAAAGCACGTACTTCGTGCTTACATTAACACCGACTACTTGCGGTGGAATTTAAGAATCGTTACACAATAAATTCAAAGATAAAGAGTAGTGATGGACTAACTATTTTAAGTTAAGGCTAATTAGGCTGACTCAACAACCTACCCGGCGTTATACTTATTAAATGGCCAAAAAGGCGTAACAGCGAGGACAACCAATAACCTACGCTAGCTAGCTAAATCATGCTGTGAATAAACTACAAGATTCACCCGTTTAAATACTCATTCCACTTAACTTTAAATTCGCATCTTGGAGTGGAAATGTGAGGAGAAAATGAGAGGTTCAAGAAAGGTATCATAATTCAGGAAAGGTATCATATAAAATAATTTGTTATGCAAAATAAAGGAAACCCTACAGTGTCAGCTGTCAAATCTCAAAAGAAAGTATATATATATATATATAAGAAATTGTAGAAAGCTTGCCAAAAAGTTACCAGGAGCTGTGGCTCCGAGAAAAGTTCAACACATTTTTTTAAAAAACAATGTCATTGAAGGGTGAAATTATGCTAACACGTTAATTAACACAGTAAATACTAATCTGGACTAGTAACGGCAAAAAATACGTAAAAACCTATCGATGTGACAATGTAAAGTTAAAACATAGAAAAACCAATCGATGGAACAAGTTAAAACATAAAACAAACATAAAACATTAAAAATATAAAGCGGAAATGGTAAATTAGCTTAACCCGAAGTCCAACCTGGCTTTTCAAGGGAAATTCTAGCTGAACGTCGAATTTAACTAACTCCTTACGCGTTTCGCCGAACAGACAAATGAAACTTTTGACTTACAAATTTTAGTTAAATAGACGAATGTCTAGAAAATTTTTAGTTCATTCTCTTTCCAAGTTCCCGACGCGTCTGCACAAAATATACTTAACGTGTAAAAGATGTAAAAACAAGTGCGATGTACAAGAATTAAGATAAAAATAAAAATAAATAGCATCTGCTATAGTCAAAAAATACAACAACTTACGGGCTGGACCTGCATATATATATATATATATATGTACAAGATTGACAGAAGAATCACAAAACGAACATAACGCTTTCTATTTGTGCAAACCGAAATTACTTTCTTGTCAATCCAATAAAATAAATATGAGAAAAAGCACACTAAAATATTTATGCATATTAAAATTTAATATTGTTTTTAAATATATAAAATTTGGTATACAATATGCTCAATGAAAAAGTAAAACTCGGTAACCACACATACACACACGAGAGGGGAGGGGTCAGAAAGTTAAAGAAAAAACGGGAAACGAAAAATTAGAATAGAAAACAAGAAACAAGGTGAGTATTTTTAAACGAAGTCATTTAAAAATTTAATTAACCAATTTTATGCCTAATATTAAAAACATTGCATCAATACATCAAACAAAGACATTAAATTAATTGAAATCGAGCTTTAGCGCAATCAGGATCCCTAATTTTGTTTCTGAAAACTTACGTGCACTTGTAAAATTAGAAATAATAATAATAGAAAGAATAATTAAACATAAACCTAATAAATGATTTTTCAAAACTTTTGTTCAGATTTCTCTGTATAACTAGCATCTTTAAGGTCTTGATGGACAATTATTTGTATTAAATTATATTACATACTGTACATTAGAGAAATATGGGGGGGGGCACCCCATATTTCTTTAAAAGGGGTTGATGCAAGGAGAAGGTTGGGAATCACTGGTTTAGTCGAAAGCAAAATGCATGAAGCCTTTCTTTTTCTGCATAAATTTATAAGGTATTTTCTACCTTCTTTCAGCATGCCTTCGTGGTGTCATTCGGCACGTATTCGAGAGTCCCCTCGAGGGCATTCCTCACTTTTCACGTCTCCAACATCAAAATATCCTAATGACTGCAGGGGCGTAGCTAGAGGGAGGCAAGGGGGGCATCTGTCCCCGGGCGTAGAATCTAAGGGGCGCCAAACTGATGTTACGACATTTTAAAATTAAATGTTTTCTATCCTTGGAAAGCAGTAGGGGGCGCGAAATCTTCAGTTTTCCCTGGGCGATGAAAACCATAGCTACGACTCTGAATGACTGTACAAATTGATTGAAAACAATACCAAGTTATACCAAGGCAAGGTATAACTGAATAGCAACGAATATGCAGATGTTGAAAATAAATCAATTATTTGGCAAAGGTATAACTGAACAGCAACGAATATGCAGATGTTGAAAATAAATCAATCGCATGATTGATTTATTTTCAACATCTGCGTTGATGATCAGAAATCGTTCGAAATATGATTTATTTTCAACATCAGATGTTGAAAATAAATCAAATGCGAATTTAAATTTGGGAAGGAGGTGGGCTAAATCTTACTCTCACATAAAAGGTGCTCAAAGCACATACTACTGACAGACATAATCCTGCGTTCCTTGCGGGGTGGGAAAACTAGGCTTCCGTCTATTAGTACTATTTTAAACATTTTCCTGTATTTTTATATTTTTTAGGAGGCCCGACTGCCAGCGTATTACAGGAGGTTCAAGGAATACCAGTGGTGGGAAATGCTAAGTGCGATTCCAAGTTCCGGAAAATACCGAATGCTCCATTTCCCAGAGGCATTACGGAAGGCTTCATATGTGCTGGTTTGGAAGAGGGTGGAAAAGATGCTTGTCAGGTATATTTGGAAAATCTAATAAATTAATAGAAAACTGTAATACAATAGACGCTCCCCAATGTGATCCCGGTTAATACTATCATTCGGATATTGTTACTGAACTGTCCGTTTGTATACAGGAAACATGGAAAATATACATCTGCTCACTGTGATCAACAATTCGGTTAATAAGATCAAAATATGAAAGAATATATTTTCTAAAATACTAAGTTAAATCGCAAATATATTTAAAAAATTGCCAAGTGTCAGAAAAGGATTAAAAATCCCATATAGCTTGATTTCGATTTATTAAACCATTTTTAATTAGAAAAAAGGGAAAAATATCTTTATTTGACGTAGATTTTTAGTATTTTGTGTAAGGCGATCATGTATAAGTCCCTCTTCTTCGAGAGCAAAAAAATTTAAGCAGAATTTTTTCCTTAAAAGATCGCTGCTAAACTAAGGTTGCTTTTTCGCCCAATTTTAAATTTTTACATAGACAAGCTCTCTTCTAATGAAGGATGATTTTTGAGTACTAAAATTAAGGGTACAGCATAGCTTAAATAATTTCTAGACACATTTTGAATAGTTGTTAAATGAACTTTTGTTTTAACGGCAGTTCATATACAGAACGTTTTCATTTTCCTAATTAAAACGCTGCGAAAGTACCTATCTTGTAAGGCGTAGCAAGTGGGCAAAGGAGGCGCAGAATTGATGTTAGGAATTTTTAGAATGAAATGTTTTCCATTCTTGGCAAACAAGAGGGGTTCAATATCTTTAGTTTACTTTTAGTTTTTTAGACACTCGGCGCTGAAAACCTTAGGTACAACTCTGGTTTCTAGTTATGTTTATATTAACTGAATTATATTTCATTGCTGATTCGAAGATATTTTTTCCTCATCGCTTAATGTTATCCAAATAATCATGGTCAAATTAGCCTACTGTAACAACATGTTAAGGAACTGAACTTTTACTTTTTTTTTTCTGATTTTGTTTTATGCTTCAAAAATAATTTTCATGCAAAGGGTATTCCAAAAAGAAGGATGTCATTTTAAAATAAAATAAAATAAAAACTATTTCGGATACAACCAAACTTTATATCATTTTAAAATACAATTTATGAGATTAGGTCAATTAAGTCAATAAAACATCATCTTAGTGTCCACCTTCACTTGTGCACCAGAGCGAATTCGATGAATCCAAGGCTACCAGCGGTTAAGTCGCTGAACATTGGTAGTTCGGCCAAGGATGAATTCCAGGTTAATAGGCTGCTGCATGCTTGGTTGTCATGGTTATCCCGTGTGTAACGTGGATACCAATCAGTGTTCCTTAGAAAGTCCTTTACGAAAGCAGCTTATAGCCCTTGTGTAAAGCTTATAGCCCTTGAGTGTTCTGTCGCAATCAAATAAACCAAAAACAAGCGATAAACTCAATTTTCGATGATTGTGTGCAATAACTAGGACCTAATATCAGAAAAGTAGCGTTCGATGTTTATTCTTAATGCTTCAATGGTTCGTGGTTTGTTCACATCGTTCATTGATTTCAAAGAACACCAGAGAAAGCAAGCAATCTAAAGGATTTAAATTACAGTTTGGAAGGCCAACTAAGAGTTGCATTTCGTGAAATTATCATTTCTCCCAACGTTTTTTGCAATACGTCGATAGGAATGTGAAATTTGGCCGCAAAAAATTCCTTTTCCTCTTTCCTTCCTCGTTTTTGGAAAAAAAATGGTTCGATGATGCCTCTGTGCCACAAACTACACAATTCTCTATCCCGAATGCAAATAGCTGAAGCAGTCATCTTATACTGGATTAACAACTTCATCGGAGAAAACGGCATCGTCATTCCTCAGCAACACGAGTTTAGAAAAAAAAAAAAAAAAAAGCATTCCTCCTACTCATCAATTTTAACAGGTCACCGAATTCATCGTTGAAGGTTGTAAGGTGGATGTTAATTTTATAACCGTTATTTTTTATTTTGAAACCCTTTCCTTTCACTTCGTGTTTCCCACTTACACCTCCCTACCAGAATACGTTTTTAGAATCGCGTTGAATGCAAATAAGTCAGGAGTAATATTTATACGAAAATCAACTAACTTCGACAGGGAGTGCTTACGAGTCCTTAGTGGCTCAAGTTTGCCTTCTGGCTACTTCGTTTTTGAATCTATTACGCTCTGCCGTACTGTACGTGCTTGATGATAATCGCCGGCTAGTTTAATTGAAGGGCCAACCACGTTAGATATTTGTGTCTAGCTTCAGCTAAGTCTATTTTAGTTAATTTAGTTTCTTATTTATCTTATTCTGATTTAAAAGCCCGAATGGAGGCTTTCCTGTATGCCCGAGAAGGGGCCAACTATTATCATTTCTTTGAATGAATAAAAGGATATTTTAACTCTTCTCGAGTCTACGTTGTTAGTGTTTGAACTGAGAGATAATTCGCTATACAGTTCACTAGGTTCCTTGATATTATATTATAGACAAAGTAAAGAGGAACATTATATGGTTTAAGGAACAAACTCATGACAAATGCCCTTTTTCTTGACATATCAAAAGCCTTTGAACATGTTTAGTTACATGCGCTTACTTACTAATCACACTTGGTTTCCCAGATTACATCATTAATATTATCAATTCTTATCTACACTGGTGTGCAAAAATTAAGGACGAGACGGTTTTTTCAATATAAATTTGTACAAAAGCTTTCCTAATCAACACATTTAATACCGTAAGATCCCCAATACGTAAGAACATGAGTAATGTAAGCAACACTTACTATAAGAGAAAATCAAGGGATAAAAAGAGCTTTATGAAAAAGTAGCATGGAGCGCAAATGCGACTGAGGCCGAAAATTCCTGTATGTGTGTCCACAAGAAACATCCGGTCTTATTAGAGGACTGCTAGGCAGGTTTTCACAGCGTCTGCCCATGCTGAGATGAGGGTGTCAATGAGTTTGTTGAGGCATTGCTGCCCATTCGTCGTTGCAGCGCCAATCGAAGCTCCGGAATCGTTACTGGTGGTAAGGTACGAGCTGCCAAGCGTCTGCCTAGAAAATCCCATACATGCTCGATGGGATTGAGATTCGGAGATCGGCCGGCCAATCCATACGTTCAATATCCTCACTCTCTAAGAGCTGTTCGGTAGCTACTGTGCGATGACATGGTGCATTGTCGTCCATGAAAAGGAACTGCGGACCCTAGCGCCTCTAAAAGACGCACATATGGAAGAAGAATCTCGTTACAATAACGGGTCCCGTTGACTGAACCTGCGTCGAAGATGTGAAGGTCTGTACGACTACCAAGCATGATGCCTCCCCAAACGAGACACCGCCACCTCCATACCGTCCCATTCAATGAAATGTTCGAGGCATGATTGCGGCTTCCACGCTCTCTCCAGATGAGTAATGCGATGAGAATCGCTACTCAGACTGCATCTGCCTCTCATCTGTAAAGAGTACTCGTCCCCATTCATTGTCTCTCCAATTCCGTTGTTCCCGGCACCACAGAGAACGCCTTCTCCGATGGGCAGGCGTTAGAGGTACACACCGTACAGGGCGTCGTGCAAACAGACCACCACCGTGCAGTTTTCTGGCCACGGTAAAACGCGATATCGGTCGTCCAGTCGCCTGTGACGTGTGTCTAGCGATTTCTCGCGCTGTCTGCCGCCTGTATCTTCTCGCCTGTAAGGCAATATAACGGTCATCTGCGGGTGTGGTTCCTCGTGGACGACCACTACTAAACCCCCGGATAGCTGTTCCTGTAGTTTGAAATTGTCTCCAAAGTCGTGAAACGATGCTGTGAGCAATTCCGAACTCTGCAGCCACACTTGTCAGATTGCGGCCTTCCTCCAACTTCCCAATGATTCGACCTCGGGTAAAAGCATCCAGATGTCGTCTAACAGATTGATTATTCGCCATTTCTCGCTGAGGCAGCAACTCGGTGTGATTTTAACTGCTATACGGCGTGCAATCTCTTTGCCAGAAATACTGATCTTACACCGACAACATGCTTTATAAACTACTCAGACACTTCCCCCATTACGTCTACCTGCATATCTGCGCGCATGTGCTACCGTACATCACCTTACTTAATCTCCTGATTGGTCTTTCTGTCCGCTCTGCCTCTTCGTTCAGCTGATATGCTAATTTTTCGACTTCGTCCTTAATTTTTGCACACCAGTGTATATGATAGATCAATACAGTATGGATATGGATATGGAGAAATGTGGTGGACACCCATTGTTTATCCATTGGCAATGTGGGTATTGTCCAGCTATACTAGATATCCAGATAAAAAGCACCCCACAGGACTTACAGGGGATGCTGCCAGGAGTTGCTTGCAATGCTTTGTATTTTACAAGACCTTTCTTTTTCCCTTAAATATACATTGGTGTTTTTACAGTTGGTGCCTTTCGCTCTTACACGCTATGGAGGGCAGCTCCAGGTCTGCTTGCATACTATGTTTTAAGTAATAGCTTTGTTATATTATTCTAGGTTGTGCTGCATAGCTCAGTGCCTCTTGTGGACAGGAAGCTCATTATAATTATGATTTTTTTTCGGAGATGGATGTTCTTGATAGCGTATCTAATAAAGGGAGTCACTTCACTCTGTGAATTCGGGACTTTTAGGTGATGTTCAGCTGTAAGGGGACATTTGAATATATAATGGTCGGGACTGCCTCTTAATATATAATGGTCGTGATTGCCTCTTTCTCCACATGCACATTGATCTGAAGTTGCTAGTTTCCGTGCATAGAAGTACGTGGAAAAAGGATCATGCCCTGAAAAGAACCACGTTATTTCTCTAGTTATTAAACTGGGAGCTGTGCCTACTTTTGGGAACAACTGATAAGTCCTTCTTCCTCGTTCGGCGTTGTCCCACCAGTTCTGCCATTCAGCTTTAGATTTGATGGATATGATTTTTTAAGGTGCGAGGCAGGCCATGGTACTCATAAATTTTGTGCATTTTGACCCCTAGCTGTTTCTTTGGCTAGGATGTCAGCCTCCTCGTTGCCTTTTGTCCCTGCATGTGCCTTCAGCCAAGTGACAAAGATCACCCAAGATGAATACAATAGATCCTTTTTCCTTTATTACTTTTTCGTTCGCTATAACAAAAGCTGCTTTACACATCGGCAAACCTTGCCGGCGTCCCACAAAGATATTCGCTCGCACCGTCATTATTCTCTCTTTTTGCGAAAGGCATTCCACATACACCAAACACTGCACTTGCATGCAGACGACACAGCAATCTTATCTCAAAACGCATCTCTGAGTTCAATCATTCAAACGTTACGTTTCACATCCATGCACTGGAATCCTGGCTGACCAAATGGAAAATAAATATCAACGTTGACAAATTTGAAGCTGTACTTTTCACGAGGAGAAAACGACTGCAAACAATCCAGAATGCAATTCTTCGTCAAATTATGAAATGTCGTCGTTTATTCGTGAAGACTCAATTCATGAAAAACTGAATATAAATAAACTCAGCGAATGCACAGATAAAATCGATAAAATATTATTTATAAAAATTCATCAACGCAGTAACAATTCAGTACCACTATGCACAGATAAAATCGATAAAATATTATTTATAAAAATTCATCAACTCAGTAACAATTCAGTACCAAGAATTACAACTTTACTGACCAGAGAAATAGCCAGGAGCGGTCCTGCTCCATTTAACATAGTATTTTATTTGTTAATCTCTTAACTTTGTACTTATTTTGCTATTTTTTTCGTTCTTTAGTCCCTTATCTTATTTTATTTTTAAATTTAATTTTACTTTTTACTTTGCAAAAGTTCCTCTATTCTTTTCGGCCATTTTGCTTCAAAATTAAGTAGTCTCGTCCCTCAACTAATGCCTAATTAGCATTAAATTGCACTTTTTTCCCAGTCACTCCACTGATTCCATTCTTTGCTATCACCTGACCAGAAGCCCCAACTACGATCTCAACTTTTCACCCAACCAAAAAACTTCTGGGATTAAGAACGATAACTTCGTCAAAGCAGGAGTAGCTCCGTCAAACCCAAAGAGGTTAGAATAACCTATTTAATCAGACCGAAGAGGAAAAAACATACAGAAATGTAATCATCCCTAAAATATTTCATGGAGTCGGAGCTTGGGGCTGCCGGGCAGAGGAGGCACTTCGGTTTGAATGAAATTGGACACCTGCAGACCTTGTCATTGCAAGAGCCTTTAGAACCGTTTCAAATGAAGTTGCCTGCGTCCTTGAAGGTGTTCCGCCTCCCTCGATTGTATTCAAATTTTACTGCAAAAAGTTTCTATTAGCTAATAAAATTATTATAGATACTGAAATTGGACAAAAAGTACTCACAAGTAAATTATAAATACGAACAAAGATAGAGTTGGAATTCGGCACCGAGACTCAGATTTTGGACTTTATATGTCCCCCCCCCCCCCTACATTCTTTTTTTTTTTTTTTTTTTTTTTTTTTTTTTTTTTTTCTGGCCAGTCCCATTTTTTGATCATAGCCGGCTAGGAGGATCAGGACTGTGTCCTTAATTAATAATAATAATAATAATAATAATAATAATATATTAAGTTTAGTTTACAAAAGCTGACCATTTAACCTTATAAATACCCTTTCGCACATGTGCAAAATAGCTGTCGAGACAGTGTCGAAAGTCTTATTTTCTAAGAGTTCAAACGTCTGTGAAACCATTTTTTTTCCCCTCCGTATGTACGTAAAATTCGCGAAAACATGATAGACGCATTTAAATTCTGAAGAGAGCTCACTTAAATTCTGCTTTAAAGGTCACACACAAACAAACAAACGGCCACTCTGCTTTACATATGTAGATGATGTTAATGAATTCAGCTAATGTAATTTCAAGGGTCCAGGCTAGTTTAACTGAAATGAATCTGTGTTAATTGCTTTTTAATCGCTTAGTTTGTTAATTAATAATAAAATAAATTTTAAAAAATAAATATCTTAGGTTTTCCTGAATCACAACATATTTCCTCTTGGAAAATAAAAATATTTTGATTCGGAAAACGACAATACATTTCTTTTAAATTGCTGAGTTATTTTCCCCCCTTTGAAAACATACAGACACCCCGTGCACCACATATGTACAACATGGGGCTTACAGAAGTAAGTTAATTAAAACATTAAAAGTTGCATGCATAAATAAAATGAACAAAAGCAGAGAACACCAGTCTGGACTTCACGAAAACAGATAAGTTCACTGGCCAAGTCACTCCGAACATTTTCAAATCGTTCTGTAAGCATAATCTAGGGCCATCAAATGTAGGGCATGAGAAAATTAAATGTTCCATATCCTGAGCACGCTTTTTGAACATTCACATAAATTGTTTGATCTTAGATTAAAACGAAACAGGTAACTTGCAAATTTACCGTGACCAGATAAAAACTGAGACACTTTAAAATTTATAGAGAGGAAAGACTCGGAATGCAGTCTATGGTAACTAAAAGGAAAGAACTTTTTGGTATTCTCAGCATTACAAGAGGAAATATATTTCTCATTCCACATAGCTAAAAGCTTCTTTTAATGAAAGAAATTCCAATAGCTCTTTGGAATGCTAATGTTGATATCAATGGGTAAATTTAAGACATCTTTAGCTAAGAAATCAGCTCTTTCATTTCCATAGAAACCATGATGAGCACGCACATAAGCAAAGCGGATATCAATTCCTCTATTTCTAAGTGAACTAACAGTTACTAAGGTTTCAGATAACTAATTTGTCGCAGCTGGTAATACTGTTCAAAAGTTGAAGAGAATTAGAATAAATTGCTGAGTTTGATGATTAAATTCAAAAGACAAAAAAAAAAAAAAAAAAAAAAAAAAAAGTTTCATTTCCTCGAGTGGCAACACACTTCTTTCACGTCACCGAATTTCTTTATTAAATTTAAAACATAATTATCTCAAGCTTTGTATAGTGGCAACACAAAAGCTTTTAGGTCACTGAGTTTTTAGTCAAAAGTTCGTTCATTTAGCGTAAAATATATAATAAAGAATGCAGACCCTGTCCTCTGTACATAGTGAAACTTCCTCAAGAGGGCCGAATTTCGTCAAGATCGGAAAAAGACTGTAGATTTGTATGAAAGAAAAGCGTATGAAAGAAGATTCACATGAAAGAACGGACATTTATTTTTATTTATATAGATTACATACATATGCATATTGATTTAAGATTTTTCTTCATTTCCGGCATAAAAGAATCTTATACCATTTACAGTTTTATAGCAACTGATTATAATAACTTAATGTATTGTTCTAGGGTGATTCTGGAGGTCCTCTTCTGCAACAGCATTCAGATGGTACGTGGACACTAGTGGGAGTCGTTTCGTTTGGCTACAGATGCGCAGAGGCTGGTTTTCCAGGTGTTTATACGAGAATCTCCGCGTACATCCCTTGGATCGAGAAGTACATAGGCAGTCAGAATGAAGTGCGTGTAGCAGATATGAAGAAAGAACGTTCTGAGAACTTTGAATATATTGATGGCAAGCCTTTATGGAAGTCGCCCATAGAAAGGGTACTTTTTCCTGGCTCATGAACAAGACTCATATGAAACAACGTTCATTTTACATGAAGTCAAGTTAATTCAAGGCCAAGCGTTTATAAAAACAATAGCAAGTGAAATGTATCTGATTTATTTGGGAACAGAGTATGCTTCCGATTATCCGGACTAATGCATGGGAAGCAGCTTATGGTTAATTGAAAAACACGGATAACTCAAACTATCAATTTTCATGCAAATATTTTTCGACTTTCGTTGCCCGTACTTTGAAGGGGTATTTCATCATTGCCTTCGAATCCGGTTTGGACGACGAAGTCCAGTTGCGTTTCAACAGGTTAATTATTGATGTCTCGGGATAAATGGAATTGTTATCTTATGTTATCTTATGAAATTATTTTTTGTTAGTATCTTCTTCACTTGTATTTTCAGTATAACTCTTTGCGTCCTTTGTTCTTGTGACATTTGAAACGTTAAGTACTTGTAATGTGTTCTTTATAGACTTTTTAAGTTCTAAAATTTTAAAAAGAATGAGAAGAAAATATTCTCGAATATACGTAAGGAAGAAAAAAAGAAAAGAGATGAACAAACAAAAATTATGCCTCCGACTAAACGCATGCAGAACGAATCTTACGAAATAATCGTTGAAACTAACTGTAAATACGCAATTCAGCGATTTTTAAAGCATGCTTGGACTAAGCGCGCGTCTCGTTTTTATACTCGCGTTGAGTGCGAATAGCATTGTGAGTGCGTGGACACTATCACGCAAGGATAATCGAGAGTACATTGTACTTTCATTTATGTTATTGCATTGGATACAATGATGCATTTATTTATTTGTACATAATTTTTCTGGTGTGAAATATAAATAATTAAATAAATGGGTGTATAAAAAAATAAGTGTGTAATTAATAAGTGTATAAATAAATGATAATTAATAGTGAATAAGTGTATAAAAATGTAAAACGCTTTAAATTATATAGATACTTAGGTATTATCACGACCACCGTATTAATAATCGCCGATTTTCAGAATGCGCCAAACTTATGCAATCATACTTATAAACTAGTGTTTTCAGTTCTTTTTTTTTTTTTTTTTTTTTTTTTTTTTTTTTGTTCCATGCACCCTCCTAGACGACCATCCCCCCCCAGTCAAAAAGAGGAGAATGGCGTTAATTACGAAGGGGAAAGTAAACGGGTGTGTTAGAAGTCATAAGGGGAGATATATTAATAAAGTGAGTTATCTTTAGGTCACATTCAATATTCAATATACCAAGGAGAGGAATAAAAATTAGAATTAGATCTCTCATCTGTTATACTTACAGTAAATAAGTCAGCAATTTCCAAAATTTGTACATGGATGTGTATGGTACCAAAATGAAGACAAATTATATAAGACCGCGAAAAGTGTTTTCTTTTTATTTTACGTATTATTAAACAGTTTAATAATATTAGTATACACATTTTTGTATTGTTAATCACATATCTACTTATAATTGAGATTTAAAATATAAATTATCCGACGTTTTCGTTGATTATATCTATTTGTTTAATAACATTTTTATCTAGAAATTTCCTTTTTCTTTTTCTTGAGAAATATATGAGGGGCGTTCAAATAAAAGTGATTCGAGATGTGTAGCGACAAAAATAAGACAGATACATAGATAGGAACAGCTTAGACTAAGAAAGACTTTTTCTTTTTCCTGAGAAATATAATATTATGTAGGTACGAGGCTGAAACAATTGGGAAGCACTGCTATAAACAAATAATCCGATCCAATTCCAGCTGAACAGCACTAATTAGCAGTGTAATTATTTTAAAAAGTATCTTTGTTTTTTAAAGGCCTCGTCCCATTTAACATGGAATTAATTCCTTAATCATCTTAAGAATAAGAAAACTTTATGTGTTTATTAAATTGGATATATCAAAGCATATGAAGGCTGGCCGACAAATGAATGCTTTCTTGGAGAATTTTCTAGGGAAACAGGCTCATATTCACTTTACAAATAAAGAAAACCATGAAAATACTCACATACAGTGGTAAGCAATAGGGGGTTCGTGCAATATTTTTGTTAAATTTGTATCTAATCTGGCAGTCCTAAGTCTGGATAAAATGTGAAGATAAGCTTTTGAAATTCTTTGAAACTCAAAAGTATCTTTTAAAATAATTTTTAATTTCTCAACGTCATAAATTTTATTCGATTGTGAAAACCAGTTTTGATTTTTAGAGATGTCTACAACACTTATTGCTGTTTCGCTTCACATTGTGTTAATTAACCATTCATCTATATCGCACATTGCGATTCCTGAGAGTTGTGCTTCTCTGAGAATAATCTATAAGGTATTTCTCCCGCCTTCGTAGTGCAGTGGTCAGCATGCTGGGCGCGTATTCCAGAGGTTCGTGGTTCGGACCTCTGGAATACGCGCCCGGCGAAGGCGTTGCTCATCTTTCCTGCTTCGAAATTACCTAATGTCTCTACAGTGGCGCCCAAACTAAAAGGGTGGCGGATGATGATTCTAAACACCCAGGATTTGGCAATTGGGTCCCCTAAACCCCAATCGTCCTTTAAAAAGGGGGAGTATATAAGGTATTTCTTTCGCCTTCTTAGCATGTCTTCGTAGTGTAGTGGTCAGCATGCTGGGCGTGTATTCCAGAGCTCCGTGGTTCGATTCACGGCGAAAGCGTTGCTCATTTTTCCTCTTTCCTGCTTCGAAATTACTTAATATCCCTACAAAGCTTTTAAATTTATCTTTTAAATTATGATAACGCATTGCTTTTCAATTCAACAAGTCAGTGGTTTGAAAACAATCATACATACTTTACACGTATATCGTATGATGAAATTTTCGCAAATATCAGCAAATAATTAATATTATTTCTTTTGTACGTTCATGTTATAAATAGTTTACTGTTTATCAGTACGAAAACTGAGGTAACTAAAAAATAAGCTTTTTAATAACACAACATCAACAATAAAGTATTTATAACTATTTTTACTAATAGTTTCAATAAATATTCGCGCATTAATGTAATTAATGAAAACGACTTGAAACCAAAATAGGATTTGCATTAATGAATTGTAGTTAAGAATAATGGTCCCCATTTTTCTGAATAATATTTGAATAATTTAAAGATTAAATCCGATAATCTCTAAAGATGGTTTTGCAGTGAAAAATTATAATACAACTCATTTTAATAACCTTTCTTCCTTACAAGTGCCGAATATCTGTTTGCTATACACTTGATCAATTCGCAGATAAGTCTTTCAGCCAGATGATAATAAATTTTAATTTTCAGTTTTTATTTTTAGGCCGAAATATTAGTATAATTCTAATCTACCTTTAAGCAACGGGTTTTTGTTAAAGAAGTGTACATCATTGAATCATTTTCTGGATTCCCATATTGACTTTCCCCAGAGATGTTAAAAGTTGCGAGTGACGAGTACGAGTAATACGAGTATATATATACAGTGGATGGACAAAAATATGGAAACACCTTGTGAAATGCATGTTGTTGTCGGAGTACTGTTATGTGAGGTTGTCATTGCATAATGTCAGAGTTAACAGACTTCGAACGTGGGCAAATTGTTGGAGCACGTATGGTAGGTGCTTCCGTAAGCAAGGTAGCCGAGGTGTTTAGTGTTTCAAGAGGTACTGTATCGAAGATTTATTCCGCATATTTGAAAAGCGGAAAAACATCATCTGCTAAATCACAGCGCGGACGAAAGTGTGTCCTGAGTGATCGTGACAGGCGATCATTAAGGGCAACTGTGACGAAAAATAAGAAGACCACAGCTGCAAAAGTTACTGCTGAAATGAATATTGTGTTACCGAACCCTGTGAGTACCAAAACAATTAGAAGGGAGCTTCATAAACAGGGAATTGCTGGCCGTTGCTACAATTGAGAAGGCACTCATCAGTGATGCTAATGCCCGTAACAGGAAAAAGGTGGTGTTTAATTAAGTCATAAATCCTGGACTATAGAGCAGTGGAAGCGAGTAATATGGTCTGACGAGTCTTCTTTCACATTGTTTCCCACTTCTGGCCGAATTTACGTCTGGAGAACGCCATCTCAAGCCTATAATACAAACTGCTTGTTGCCAAGAGTGAAACATGGCGGGGGTTCTGTTATGGTTTGGGCAGCCATATCGTGGTTCTCTACCAGCCCCATGATAACTGTGTCAGGGCACATGACTGCCAAGACTTATGTGAACATTTTGGCCGATCAAGTTCATCCCAAGGTACAAAACTTTGTTCCCCGACGGTTATGGGTGTCTTCCAAGACGACAAAGCCCTTGTTCACACACAGCTCACATTGTCCAGGACTGGTTTTCTGTGAGCACGAGGAGAGTTGTCCCATCTTCCCTGGCCACCACAGTCACCAGACCTGAATATTATCGAAACTTTGTGGTCTACATTGGAACGGAAAGTGCGTTCTCGTTATCCACCCCACACTCGTTATCTGAACTTGCCACCGTTTTGCCGGAAGAATGGTATAATATTCCCTTGGCAAACATACAGGAACTGTATTTATCCATTCCGAGAAGACTGCAGCTGTTTTGGATGCCAACGGGTTTCCTACACCATATTAAGCAAAGAAACATGTTTTTTTTAAAGGTGTTTCCATATTTTTGTCCAACCCCTGTATGTAGCGTAAGCATACTCTAAAGAAAAATTAACCCCAAAAATTGCTAATAAACTGCTGTTAAACTCTGAAAAGGGTGTATCAGAGAGGAAACGACAATTAAAATCAAATAAAATTGCATTTTCAGATAGTCTTTACTAATTGATATGGATTGGAATATTTCAATATTAAAAAAATATATATATGACTGCGGAAATAGAAAAGTTTTTTAATATTTCCTTTCTTAGAGAATGCACATGAATTCATTTTTACTTAAAGAAAACTAAAATTTATTAGCTAATTAATCTGTCCACTATCGAGCACCTTAGTTCAGTAATCTGTATTAACCCTTTCCGGCACGCTACCTTTTAAAGTCGGAATTTTGATTTAAAAAAAAAAAAAAAAAAAAAAAAAAAAAAAAAAAAAAAAAGAAGTAGGCAGTCTAATTAGGCCTAGAGGAGTACACAAGTTAAATTTTGTGAAGATAGTACTTATCCTTTTAATTCTGTGGGTGTGCCCAAAGTGGCACACTGATTGAATAGAGCTTCGAAAAGAGTGCTGAAACGAGCACTGTTGTCAATGAACTGACCGATGAGATGCTGCATCGACCTTCTCATTTCCATTTATTCCGGTATGCGCTGGCACCTAGCTGAGGCTTGGCTTCTCCCCCTTTCCAGAATGCCTTCGTGGTGGAACGGTTAGCACACTCGACGCGCATTCGAGAGGTCCAGGTTCGAGTCCCGGGCAGGGCATTGCTCATTTTTCGTGTCTCCAGAATAAAAAATAACCTAACAAATCTACAGTGGCGCCCGAATTAAAAGGTGGTGGATGATGGTTCTTCACCCCCAGGATTTGGCGATAGAGTCCCTTCCCAGTCGCCATTTAAAATGGGGAGTATATAAGGGTATTTTCTCCCTCCTTTCTGCATGCCTTCGTGGTGTAACGGTAGCACATTCGGCACGTAATTAAGAATTCCAGGTTCGAGTCGCGGAGAGGGCATTGCACATTTTTCACTTTCCTGACATCGAAAAAATTCTAATGACTCTACATGGTTAAAAATAAATCTTAAACAGAATACGGGGGTGACTATGAAGTCGTAGAGAAAGATTTGATAAAATTAAAACCCGTTTCCAGCTTTTGACTCAAAATTTTGTTTAAAACAACAAACTGCCGCTTCTTTTAGTGTTGATAAGACTAAATTGAAACTTCTGAAAACTGAGTTTGTTAAGTTTAGCGGTGAAATAAATGATTGGCTCACTTTTTAGGTCAGGTTAGCTTAAGCAG